TCAACTACTAATTAAATGAAAAACACAAATATTATTTTATATAAAATTAAACTACTAACCATACTCAAGAACTCTCAAACAAAAAACAGATAAATTAAACACAACTTTCAATAAACTAAAATAACAATCATAGACAAATAAATTTCAAATTCAAACAATTTCAAGTCACGAGTAAATAATTCATACCCAAAATTAAACACTAAATATAAAACCAAAAAAACCATTCCACAACAAATAATATATAAATAATACAAAAACTCAACCAAAAGTAATACCATAATACAAAAACAAACACAAAATACAACAACAAAATCTAAAAATTTTCCAACATATCTCTACTTATATTTATTTATTTTTACATTCAATCAAAAGAAATTCCCCTTGCTACAACGTTTCTCATAGAAATATTTCCATTATTATCAGGGTTTTTTCCGGGTGCAAATACTCTAATGTTTTCTCCACTTCTGGCCCGTGAAAAAGCGGTATATGTCTGGCCATGCGCGAAAGGTTCATCGCTTATATCAATTCCTAAACGTTCACAAGTTTGCCCTTGGGCCTTAGTAATAGTCATGCAAAAAGCAACCCTTACAGGAAACTGAAATCGTTCAAAACTAACACAGTCAGGTCGAATATCTTTATAACTATTTCTTGCACGACATATTCCAATAGTAATACCACGGTCAGAAGAACCACTTATGGTTTCTGCCTCAATTAAATCTTGATGTAAACGCCTGACAATCATTCTGGTGCCGTTACATAAACCCTTCTGGGTATTTAAATTTTGAAGCAAAACTATTACTGCACCAACCTTAAGTTTTATATTATGGGCAGGCATTCCTATAGGCGTAAGCCTGTTCAATTGCGCAACTTCATACTCAGCTAAATTATAAGCAAAAGGATTTTCACTCGTGGGATTATCTATTGATAAATATTCTTGAACAGGCGAGTCTATCAAACCAACAATTTCTTCATTAATCATATCAACTACTCTATTAGTTGGTGAAAGAATTAACCTTTTTAATAATTCGTGAACTGGTGCATCAAACCCAGTGTTAAATACGAATGAATACAGGTCTTGGCGCGAATTAACCCTCATTCCTATTGGTATACTAACTGAATCACCTGTTTGACCAGTTCCAATACTATAAAGCCAATCTTTAAACTGAATTTCTGAAGGAATTACACGCATATTTTGTAACAATCTGTGTTTCTCAAAGCTCCCATATAAATCTGAAGACTGAATTGATGCTGCAACCTGTGCTCCAGGTGACGACGAGTCATTAACTACAGGAAGGGACTGCTTCCAATCACCTGATATTATAACTATCTTTCCCCCAAAAGGCTGATCTTTAAACTGCGGAATTAATTTTTTACACAAAAGATTAACATTTTCAAAAACTGTCATATTTAACATTGAAACTTCATCAATAATTATTACATTAGCCTCAATAATTCTACGTCCAAAGTAACTATCTGCTGTTACAGGTGGTATAACTCCTGGCTCAACATCCCTACCAAATCTAAAGGCAGAGTGAAATGTCATACCACCAGAGTAATAATTAGTGGCAGCTATTCCAGTCGAAGCGGTCGCTAATACTTTTTGTCTCATTTCTCTTAATTTATAAATAACATAATTAAGAAGGAAAGTTTTCCCTGTACCCCCATCACCAGACAAGAAAAATAATTTATTTTTGGTAAACGGATCTAAAACTGAAGATCGAATTAATCTGAAAAACCTTTGCTGTTCATGATTTAGATTCGCGTTATCAAAAATAGCTGTGTCAATTGCTTCATCCATTTCATCATCGTTAATATGATGCGGAAAGAAAAAATCTTCGAGAGCTCTGTTAGGATCATTTATTAATGGACGATTAGGAGAAGGAAGATTAAATTCCTGCAAAGTACGACCCTGAATTAGTAACATTCTTTCTATAATTGCCAATGCTCTGTCAATTCTAATTGATTTTTCTGCTTCTGAACACCTTCTTCTATCATAAAAATGATCGATAAACATATTCCATAGTAAAAGACCATCAATTACACACTTTTCAGTCCCCCCAAAAGCAAGAATATTGGCAAAAAGCTGTCTCATCTGGGAAGGATTTAAGGAAATAGAACCCTCTCTTAAAGTGCGTTCCCAAACATTATTATCTTCAAACAATCCTCTTAATCTAGCAGCCTCAGCAAACGTTAAACATGCATGACCATTAATAGTTAAAAGATCTTCGGGAGTGCCAGGAAAATGTTTAGTTAAAATGTATAAAGCAAACTTTTCCGGATCCCTTGGTGACACAGAAAAAATTCTCCCTATACGAGGTTTGCGGTTTTTATTTTTTTCATTAATATTCAACTTCTTCCAAACCTTATCTTTCTTATTAAACGCGTACGTTTCGGGCATGTTTTCAAAAAGAATATTTCTAACTGCGGAATCCTTATCACATAACTTCCAATAAGCAGAAAGAGGCGAATCTGGAATATTACCCGAATTAATAGCTTTAATCAATTTGCTTGTATTTTTACGTGTAAAATAGAGTTTCTGATTTTCCGGTAAATGAATAGTCAATGCTTTTACAATATGTGATAAAAAAGCATATTTATACGACATAATTCTTGTATACGCTTCAGTCGGACTTCGATAAATCATTCTGGCATAATGCAATGGCTCATCTACATTTATAAGACCGCTAGCTTCACTACGTACATAGGAAAAACTTGAACCCTTGAAAGGATATTTTAAAGCGTATTTTAAATTATCAGTTTGTCCGTACGCGAATTCTAAGTTATGGTGGCATTGAAACATCACCAAAATAAGTGGATTATACGGTACAACTCTAGAATTGTCATAAGTGATTAATTCTTTACTCCGCGTTATTTTTAAAACCTCGCCACCATCCTCAGGGGAAGGCCGATAATATTCTGCCGGTGTATTCTCATGCAAAACTGTAATATTACTAAAAGGTTTTGGGAACCCCTTTTTACATTTACCATTAGTCATCTTACAATGCTCTGAGCAGTCATGAAGTTGATAAAGCGGTAACAGTTCTCTAACTTTTCTCATAAATTTTGCCCACCCAGAATTATCATCTGCAGGAGGTTCAGGTGGTATATGAGCATAAATTAAATTTTCAATATTTTCAGGCGTTGCAACAATATTGGTACAGAAAACTCTATGTAAATGGGGCCCTCCAATCCTTTTCTGAAACTCCCTACTCTCACCATATCCCAAAATTTTTCCAAAAATATTTTTTTTGTTTAATAAGTAATGGAGATGTCGTAACTTGTCTTCGTATACCCTACTAATTATATCAAATCGATCCACAATTTTCTGATTTTTATGAAACAAATTCCTTTTAGTTTCGGGCCAACGTGGATTACTCGTAAAAGTGAACATAAAAGAGGCATTTTCTGGTTTACGAACTTTAGCCATAAGAGTTGTTGCGTCGTAAAACATGTCCTGAAAATAAGGTCTCGTCCCAGGATGATAAGACCTAAACATAACAACATGCCCTAAATCGGCAATAGAATTAGCACCAGAATCCCTTTGCAACCACTTAAGCGCGTCTGGGCCAATAGTAGCACGCAAATCCATGTCGTCCCTACGTAAATAATTAGCTACTTCGGAATCTATTCTAGATGTGTAATCTAAAGCATATTTTTGGCTTAAACCTCCACCAGAATTCCAGATATTATGATAATCCTCGTGCTTTCTTACCGCTAATCTATATTTAACATAGTCTCGAATACTAATATTTTTACGACTGTTTTCTAAAAGTGGATCAGGCTCGCAATCAGAACAATCATTATCACTTTTATCTTCAGTTAACACTTTTCTAGCAAACGGAATTTTATTATGATAACTATCATCTCCACACGGAAACAAAAGAGGGTAACATAACGTATCTGTTTGAGGATGATGTGGTCGAAAAACAAATAACCTCCCTTGATCCCCAGTAATAAAAAGCCCTTTTACAATAGGAGGTTCATCTGACTCTGTGTGCAATGAAAACAGAGTTTCCTCTGTAGGAAGATTAACCTGTCTAACGTGTAATGTGTTATCTATAATAAGTTCAGGCGCTTCTCTCTCTTCCAAAAGTACGAGTCTGAAATTTTGCACAGAATCTGGGCCATCCCTTGCTAACTTTTCTAAATATTGATCATGAAAATTTTTATAAGTATTTGCTAAAGGGTGACATTTTCTAAGAAGAGTATCTAAATTCTTTAACATATCTGGATCAACCCTATCACCACCGTAAGCAACGTTAGAAACACGATGTTGAAATGCAGTATCAGCATCTAAAATATATAACTGGGAAAATGATGGCCCCGAATCTCCAGCAATCATCGAGCTCATTTTTCTAACAAACTCACCGTTTAACAGGTAACAAACGCCACCATATAATGTGGTTTCTCGATGCCCAACATAAACAGACGCAAAAGCCAATAGAGAATTGTATACATTATGTTTTTTCAAAAAATTTTTAGAATCTTTAGTATCCCCTTTTGTCAAATCTTTTAATAGCTGAGGATGCGGCTTAAACGAAGGAAGCTTAATTAAACCACAACGACAACAATACGAAGACGAAACCTTTTTAAACTTTTTTAAATGTGCATCGTTAATTTCAGACTTAAACAACAATGCTCCACAATAAAAACATACATTGTCTCCCATGTTTCCAGAGTCATAATAGCTAACAACGTGCCTTGCACGCACATCTGCACAGGGATATAATTTATGAGATAAATGACATCGTGAATTAATTTCATTTAATGAGGCAATGTTAATATTATTAATATTTAAATCAGAAATATTATTTTTTAAAGCTTTAATTCTTTCAGACCTCCTTAATGGCGGATCTGGCTCTAAATTTAGAACAGGCAAATCATTAACAACACAATTATCTTCAACAAAATTACCAAAATCCAAATTAAAATTAAAAACATTATTATTTACTGGTGCGTTTATATGATTATTATCAAAAAGCCCAACATAATTGATATAATTAGAAAGAATCAACTTCGAAAAATTCCATAAAATACGTTTCCTTTCGTGACGAATATTTAAATTGGGTAAAAGTAATGATTTATTATTAAACAAATATAATTCAGAATAAAGACAAACAAAAAATCCACAGTTTACCCCATCTAATTGTTCAACAAAGTCCCCACGAGAAAGTGCTGTAATGTGAATATCGTTCTCGTTAATATTAGGGGTTAACTCAATTATAGCCCTCTTAATCAAATCAATTCGCCTAATGTCAAATCCTGGATATCTAACATTAAATAACCTGTCAACAGCAGGCAAAGAATCAACAAACAAACAAACAGGATTATTTCTAACAGATCTATCATAAATTACAAGACCAAAATGACCAGGAAAACAAATGGGTATAAATAGAATATCATAATTCACTGAATAATTATAACAATTCTCTATAGGAATTAGTGGATCTCTATCCCCATATTGATAATCAACAAAAGAATAAGTTGGGTCAAGTACAACAACACGTTTTTCTGTTGAAGTAGTCAAATATTTAAGATAAGAATAGATATAATCCTCTTGTAACCAAGTATTTGGATCAGACCACATTTCCATAATATAATCTCTTGCAACACTTATATTCATATTAATCATACGATTATCACTGTGTAAAACAGGACCAAAAGGAATATCTAATAAATCAACAGACAAAAAATCAGGTTCAAAATTCATATTCGAATTATCATTAGGAAAATTTTCACTTAAAATACTCTTTTTAGGTCTACCCCGACAGGTTTTCCTTTTTTTCGGTCTCCCCCCACGAGAAATAGATGAAATACTATTAGGCGATACACTACGTGAAAAAATAGAATCAGTTAAAGAAATATCAGAAATATCATCAACTATTGAAACCCTTTCCCCTTTACTGCCCCCATCAATAAAACTACCGACAATAGACATATTATTACCGTCCAACGAACCACCAACAGAACACACATCCATAGAAACGTCATCATTAGCAAGGCGCCTTTGACGATATTCTTTAGCCAATTTTCGTTTTCTCTCTTGTTTTGAAGGCATTTAAAATTAAAAATAATATTGAATATTAAATTTTATCTAAAAAAATTTAAGTTAACTCTATAAACTGTCATTAAATTAACGCAAGCAATTTTTACGCTAATTTAATTTAATTATTAAAATTTTTTATTTTTTTCTGTTATAACTTAGGTGGATGAAACCGCAACGACAACAATCAACAGGTTCGTTTCTTCCTTCTCCCTCGGAATGGAGTTGTTCCCTACTAATCAGGGAACGTTCACTGATTAGTTATACTCTTTGTTGATTAGGGTAGTGCCCGATTTTTTCGCGAAATAGGGTATAAAACTTGCTTCATTAAGAGGAACCTAATGGGGGCACCTTCTGATTAGATTTTACTCTGTAAAGAGGGGCATTCCGATCAAAAAACCGGCATGACCCCTCTATCCAAAGTGAAACCTAATAGGAAAATGCCCCCTGATTAGTGCCCTCTTAATTAAGGAAGTTTTATACCGGATTTCGCGAAAAAATCCGGCATGACCCCTCCTCAATAAAGAGTACAACTAATCAGGGAACAGTCCCTGATTAGTAGGGAGCAACTCCCTTAACCGAGGGAGCAGGAAGAAACGAACCTGTTGATTGTTGTCGTTGCAGCTGCCATCCACCTAAAGTTATAACTGAAAAAATTTAAAAAAAAATAATAAAATTAAAAAAATTAAAAAAGGCCCTGTCACACCCCAAAACCAAATTTTCGAAATTTCATAAATCCAGGAAATTCTCAAAACTATTGGGTAAACTTTACTTAATTATAATCAAGGGGTCCTAAATTATGATTTTATAAACAACTAAACCCCATAAAATCTCGAAAACCCAAAAAATCGTAAAAAACTGAAAAAATCTCAAAAAAACACAAAAAGCGAGTTTTTGCATTTTTCAAAAATTTTTTCGAGATTTTTCAGGAAAAAAAGGACTGGGGTGTGAGCAGGACACTTAAACAACAAAAAAAAATAAAAAAATAAAAAAGGGAACCCAAAGTTTTACAAAAAAATCCCCAAAAAACTAAAAATTTAACAATTTAAAAATCGGAAAATAAGGCGAAAAATGCCTATGGACAAAATGGTCAAACGGACAAAATGCTCACGGTTTATTCTAAAGCTAACTGAAACCTAATTAGGTTATCGGCCATGGGGAGTTTAATGCGCATGGCCACTTTGGTGCCACACTCAATTGTGGCACTGAAAAGGCCGAATCAAAAATTCAACGCGTTATAGCAGTTTTTTCGTGGCCCGGAGGTCTTAGGCCCCGGGAGTGATATTGTAGAACTCAGTGTTGTTAACATATCAGTAGTTGATCATTTGAGTCTTGGACGAACTTTTGGGGGTCGAATGGGTTTAAGAGTCGGGGTCGAAAGGTCGACTTTTTTTTAAAAGGACGTTTCAGGTATTTTTGATACCCTATTCAAAAGAGCGTCCGATGGGGCTCTGAAAAAGGTATACATTGTTGGGGGTCCACTTGAGTCTCAAAAAGTTATGGCCAACGTTCGCAAATGTCGCAAAAATTTCTGAGAACCTAAATGTCCGGGGAAAAATTTTAAAAATTTTCTGAGCCCTGATTTGTACTCAGCGCATGATAGAGCACAATATGGACCGTTTTTTGTGAAAAAAATAAAAAAATTTGACACGTCAAATTTTTTCCCACTTTTTGAGATTCAAAAGTTGCCAAAATATTTAAAAATTCATAACTCCCCCAAAATTAACACGTTTAAAACATTTTAAAAGCTTAATTAATAGTAAAAATTCAGCTCTATTTTATAAAAATAGTTGCAACCACCCTCAGCCTCGATATAGCCCAGAAAATTTCAAAAAACCGAAAAATTTTGAATTTTCAAAAAATCGACCCTAACTGGCCTCGGGTGAAATTTTTCAAAAATTTAAATAGCTCAAAAAATTTGTAATTTTTTTCTCTATTTTATAACGCTCAATTCGTTTGGCTACGACGAAAACTTATAAAGTTATGCCTAATTTAAATTTCACCGAAAAATTTCAAAAGGGGTACCCCTTCAAAAATGGGTCAAAAATTCGACCTCGAGAAAAACATGGTTTATGGTACTCCAAAGGGTGCTGAACACGAATCCGAACTCCGTTTATTTTTAAAAATTTTTAAAAAAAAGTTATACTCGAAAAACCGACCACTTTTGGCCACAAAAATGCCACTTTTTTGAGTATAACTTTCCCAGACTCAAGTGTACCCCCAACAAAGTATATATTTTTAGAGGTTTCAAGGGACGCTCTACAAGATAGGATACTAAAATCGAGTTTCAATTCACGCGTTAAAAAGTCGGTTTTGGCGAGGTCACTTTGGTGCCCATAACTATGTCAGGAAAAAATCCCAGACTCAAATGTCTCCCAACAAAATTGTAGTAAATTTAGTGCCCTATTATACCAAAAAAGATTTGAAACCATTTGCCCTCTCTTAAGCAATTTTATAATTACATTCGATGGGAGCCACCCTTCACGTTAGGGGTTCTGGACATTTTGGACCTTTGGCGTTCTATAACTTTGCCCAAAATGGTCAGAAAAAATTAAACCAAATTTTTTCAGACTCCCCACATGGAGCTCTATCGATTCGCATATAATTTGAAAATTGTCGGTCATTTTCGTCGGACACCATGTGTCATTTTTGGACGAGATGTACAATTTTCGCGACGGCACATCGCACTCAACCGTCCACCCAGAGGTCCCGAAATTTTTCCTACGATATAGTACCTTTCCCAACTTAATCGCCTCCCAGCAGACACTTTTTGATCCAACTTCTGCCTCCCGAGTTATTTCCATTTGAAAAACCACCCATGGCCGTTTCAGTGCGAAAACGACGTTTCAGTGCCGAGGTTAGAGTTTTCCTGAATAGAGCGCAAAAAGTTGCAGGACAAATGTACCCTTCAAAAAATTCCAGCCGCCGGCCTTCGGCCGGCGGAATTTTTGAAAGGGATTTTACGGCCAAAAAGGGGGAGGTGTCGGGGTTTTTTATATATTATGTAATAAGAAGAAAAGAAAAAGAGAATGTTAAATACAATACATTTTCTCTAATGTATGAAAAAAATTGATTAAATTTTAAATCCCATCAAAACTTTTTAAATTTTATGGACATTTTGTCCGTCTATTTTTCCAATTCCTTGGTTTAATTACCCAAGTTTAAGGTATGTATTTCAATACTACTTGGGATAAATTTTGGAAATGTATTTCGAAAGAAATACTTAAAATTAAATCAAAATTTAAAAAGTTTTTAAAAACTTTAAGCCAAAATTTTGAAAATCATCTTTTTTATAAAAGTATTTTCTATTGAGTATTGAAGAAGAAAAGAAAAAGAGAATGTGAAATACAATACATTTTCTCTAATGTATGAAAAAAATTGATTAAATTTTAAATCCCATCAAAACTTTTTAAATTTTATGGACATTTTGTCCGTCTATTTTTCCAATTCCTTGGTTTAATTACCCAAGTTTAAGGTATGTATTTCAATACTACTTGGGATAAATTTTGGAAATGTATTTCGAAAGAAATACTTAAAATTAAATCAAAATTTAAAAAGTTTTTAAAAACTTTAAGCCAAAATTTTGAAAATCATCTTTTTTATAAAAGTATTTTCTATTGAGTATTGAAGAAGAAAAGAAAAAGAGAATGTGAAATACAATACATTTTCTCTAATGTATGAAAAAAATTGATTAAATTTTAAATCCCATCAAAACTTTTTAAATTTTATGGACATTTTGTCCGTCTATTTTTCCAATTCCTTGGTTTAATTACCCAAGTTTAAGGTATGTATTTCAATACTACTTGGGATAAATTTTGGAAATGTATTTCGAAAGAAATACTTAAAATTAAATCAAAATTTAAAAAGTTTTTAAAAACTTTAAGCCAAAATTTTGAAAATCATCTTTTTTATAAAAGTATTTTCTATTGAGTATTGAAGAAGAAAAGAAAAAGAGAATGTGAAATACAATACATTTTCTCTAATGTATGAAAAAAATTGATTAAATTTTAAATCCCATCAAAACTTTTTAAATTTTATGGACATTTTGTCCGTCTATTTTTCCAATTCCTTGGTTTAATTACCCAAGTTTAAGGTATGTATTTCAATACTACTTGGGATAAATTTTGGAAATGTATTTCGAAAGAAATACTTAAAATTAAATCAAAATTTAAAAAGTTTTTAAAAACTTTAAGCCAAAATTTTGAAAATCATCTTTTTTATAAAAGTATTTTCTATTGAGTATTGAAGAAGAAAAGAAAAAGAGAATGTGAAATACAATACATTTTCTCTAATGTATGAAAAAAATTGATTAAATTTTAAATCCCATCAAAACTTTTTAAATTTTATGGACATTTTGTCCGTCTATTTTTCCAATTCCTTGGTTTAATTACCCAAGTTTAAGGTATGTATTTCAATACTACTTGGGATAAATTTTGGAAATGTATTTCGAAAGAAATACTTAAAATTAAATCAAAATTTAAAAAGTTTTTAAAAACTTTAAGCCAAAATTTTGAAAATCATCTTTTTTATAAAAGTATTTTCTATTGAGTATTGAAGAAGAAAAGAAAAAGAGAATGTGAAATACAATACATTTTCTCTAATGTATGAAAAAAATTGATTAAATTTTAAATCCCATCAAAACTTTTTAAATTTTATGGACATTTTGTCCGTCTATTTTTCCAATTCCTTGGTTTAATTACCCAAGTTTAAGGTATGTATTTCAATACTACTTGGGATAAATTTTGGAAATGTATTTCGAAAGAAATACTTAAAATTAAATCAAAATTTAAAAAGTTTTTAAAAACTTTAAGCCAAAATTTTGAAAATCATCTTTTTTATAAAAGTATTTTCTATTGAGTATTGAAGAAGAAAAGAAAAAGAGAATGTGAAATACAATACATTTTCTCTAATGTATGAAAAAAATTGATTAAATTTTAAATCCCATCAAAACTTTTTAAATTTTATGGACATTTTGTCCGTCTATTTTTCCAATTCCTTGGTTTAATTACCCAAGT